GGCCTCCTTCATCAAGCCCCCCTGCTTCACGAGGTCGAGCAGGGTGTGCATGTCGTCTGGCACCATGCCAAACTTGGCCAAAAGTCTTGCCACGTTCTCGTCTGTGTCCAGTGGCCCCACAGCTGCCTGTCTCAGGACTCGATAGTAAGCAGCTGTGGTGTCGATAAAGAGTATGGCGTAGCTCCTTTTCATACGACAACACCAACGGGCATGCGACAAAAGGCTCATTGAAGCAAAGCCAAGGGGGGCATTTCGCCTGCTGCCAAGGTGTAGCCCGTGCAGAACCCCTTGCAAGGCTTGCTGGCCGCGACAGCGTATGAGTTTGTGAAATGCCTTGGCAAGCATGCTGCTCACAAATAGCGAGCGGTGGTTCGAGGGCTGGTCGACCGGGCCCGAACCTTTGAAGGCAGCATGCAGTATGCCTCCTCTCCATTGAACTGGTTGTGTCATGTAAGCCAGGGACTTGACCACCAATGGATGCATTTTCTCCGCAAACCGCGATGGATCGGCGCGGAGTAACTCTCCAGGTATATTGTCCAGCCCCATGGCTTTCCCGGCTGGGGTCAGGCGGAGAACCCTTTCTGTTTCCGCAAGAGTTGGCATTTCTTGTAACGACCATTCTAGATCGGAGGTTTCGCGACCACTTCTGGACATCGACTGCACGTAGTCGGCGACCGGGAGGATGTGGCCGCATTCCTGGTCACCAAAATGACGCAGCCACACCATATCACGCTGCTCGCGGTCGGCAGCCACCACTCCGTCCGCATCACAGAGTCGTGGTAATGGCTGGGCTCTGGGCCTTGCCTTCTTGCCTCCAATTCCTCCCTGTTTCGCCCTCTTCATCATCTGGCCAATGTTTTGTACTCCATCCGCAACGAGGCTCTGCAGAAAATCTTGTTTGTCTGCTCGGATCTGTCGCTTGATACGAGCAGTGGTCCAGGAAATCGCCGATGCAGCCAGTTGATAAAGGAGCTGGTGCTTCGCCATCGCCTTGCTGGCAAAGTTGCCCCCACGGGCCCACTTTTCAAAGGCCCATCGACGGCCAGCACTCCATATTTCCCGTCGGTGGTCTGTCTTTTGCTTCAGTCGTAGCTTGGCGGCCCTCCATGTCCAAACCTCATTGGAAATGTAGGTAGCTCTTGGGCCACCAGCCAAGACCTTGAAGTTGTCCTGCAAGACTTGCTGAAGGTATCGCTGGAAGTGCTGGCAGTGCTGATTGACACCGACCTCCCACTTCGGGACCTGGTATCGCTCCAGGGCCTCTCGGATGATGGCCTTACCTTCCGCTGTACCCATCTTCTTCCTGTCATACTTGGGTCGGTGCAATTTCCATGCAGCTGAAATGGGTCCGGTGACGGCTCGGATGTGAGCCTCAAGGGCGATGTGGTCCACAACCGAGTTTGCGGTGTCAAAGTCCGGGACCACTTCCGTCGACACCAAAGTAGTACGACTTTCGCCACCGATGGCGACGAAATCAATGCGATGCCGGCTTCCATTGACGTGTTGGAAGGTGTAATCCGGGCCAACATGGATTCCCTCAAACGTCGATGGCAGCCAAAGTCCAGTCGCCTGTAAAGTGTCGGCGAGTCTGGTACCCTGGTTGTCTGGCTCATCGAATTGTTGTCCTCCGGTGACCTGCCCGTAGTGGGGGGGCGGTCTTGCATTGGCGTCAAGGCCACCGATGATCATGGTGGCGTCCCCTGTCCGGTGCAGGAGGCCTTCGATCGTAGCCAAAATCGCAGTCGCCTCCGGACCTCGAGCTTCATGGGGGATATGGGCGGAAAAGAGGATGATCTTGAGGCCAGCCTTGAGGATTTGAATCATCAAGAGTCGCGGCTGGCTGTGGAGGACCGTAACATCGCTATCCTCGATGTACACCGGCTGGTTGTTGATGTCAAAGGCTCCCTCCGTGGCATTGAGCCAAATAGCAGTGCCCCAGTGCACCTGGGCCGGACTAGCCAGTCTTTTGAACTTGCGACTGGTGATCAGGCCCTCGTGGTCTTTTGTCTCCTGGAGGAAAACAATGCGGCTTTGTCTCCATGCGAGTTGTTCCTCGATGTAGGCATGCTTGCCCTTCAATCCCTGCAGGTTGACCGTGAGGACCTTGGTCTCAATCTGCGAGGTTTTGGCAAGTCGCAGTCCTGACACCGTAGGTATCAGGTCACTTGGGCCGATCATGTCTTGATCCCATGGGCACTCTTGGCTCCATTCCAGCCACCGTCCCGCTTTGATTGGCAGGGCACCGTTGGCTGCTCCAAGAGTTGCCGTCGACAGCCATGCCGCCTGGAGGTCATTGAAGGCCTCCACATTGGTTGTCGGAGGCCTGGGGACGAGCGAGTTCATATTGGCCGCTTGCTTGGCGACAACGTCAGCCATTTCGTTCCATGGGTCATTGGCATGGGCTTTCACGTAGACGAAGGAGAGCCGACCCCCAATCATGCCCCGGACATACGCCTCAGTTTCCCGAATTTTCCCCGCAAGTTCGTTGCAAGGCGACCATGTACCATCTGCCCCCCACCCAGCAGCCTGGTTGTCAAAGTGGATCGTTGCCGTTGCAATGCGGAGGTAGCCAATCAGTTGGCCAAGCCAAAGCAGAGCCATCGCGATGGCAACCTGTTCCGCAATGAGCGGGTATGGCTCCTCTTGTCTCCAAGGGGACCCCGAGCTACCCAAGATAGCATCCCCAAAGAGGCCGAAATGTGCCCAATCACCTCCGCAATGTAGGAACATAACAGCACCATATCCGCTGCAGTTGTGTTGGGCCTGGTACGATCCGTCTGTGTATATGTGCACGTCAGGTGCTCCTTCAGGGCTTACACGTAAAAGCAGTGTGGCCCAGTGCATAAGGCCCGCCATAGCCACCTGGGTGATGGGTTTCCATGGGAGGCTCCCGAAATCTTGGAGCAGCCATTCAGCAGGCCATGCCTGGAAGGTTTGGTTCACCTTGTCGCCGTCATGTTCAAAGTCGAGCTTCTCAACCGTCATGTCGAAGGAGGCCGCCGGGAGGTGGTCACTTAGGCGAACTTGTAGTGCATGATCCGTAGATGGCTCGTGTTCCGGTTCGCGGCCTTCTCGTCTCGGTGACCGACTGCCACCATGCCTTCGGTGGGGCGAACGACTCCGGTTGACTGGAGTTGGCCTTGGCGGACCAAATGGGCCTGGGCCCCGGGGCGGGCTACCTTCCGACAGCTCCGAGGATCCGGGCATTGCATCAACGGTCTCGCTCTCCTCATCCTCCTGGTTGTCCAAGCCAGGGCCTTCGGAGTCCGAGTCACACTCCTCCGTAGGGGTGATAGTAGCTGTTCGGCGGAGATGGATCTCCACGACATCACCATCGTTTACCCAGATGTGTCCTCCGTCTCCATGTCGTCTCCCACCGACAGCGACTATTGAGAATCCCGGGATAACCTCAATTTGTAAGGACTCAACGAAGTCGCCTGGGTGGAAGATGTTGCCGCGAACAGCTGTCCACTGAGGCCAATAAGCGATGCCCCGCAGGTCGAGGGTAATGATCTGAAGTGTCCCTCGGGCGTGGAGCTCCTGAGGAACCACAGCAACAAGAGAGTGGACTTTACAGCCACGCCAACAGAGATATTGGGGGCGATCTGTGGGTGCCCTCAGCCAGAAGTCTGTCGGGCGGAGATTGAATGCCCAAGCTGCAACAGTCTCCGGTGTGTTGTCGTCCTGTCGCCTCGCATGGTGCAGATACTGCTCTTGCTGAGTCTGGAAGGCGATGTGCCTGCCTCTTGCAGTTGGCGGAGCCTGTGGGTGCTCTGTGTCCGGGTTCCATGCAGCAGGCTGAGACAGCCGGGGTTGGAGAGGGCTCGCCCAGTCTATAACCGCACCTCTTGCAATGATCTTCACCAGGAGACCGTTTTCTGGGGTGCGGCTTTCCTCGGGACCTAAGGGTGCCAAATCTCCTCCCACGAAGACCTCAAAGGGCTCCTCAGTGCCCTTCTCCGCCTGCTGTAGCATGTTGAACCGGTTGATACGACCATTGATGTAGGTGGCAAAGATTGGGCCCCCAATGTCTCGAGCATCAACAACAATAGCCCTTTTGTCGGTCTGATCAATCCATTCCGGAAGGAGGACAAAGCTTGCAAACTCATCATGGACCTGCGGGTTGGTGGCCACGACATGTTGCAGCCAAGGTTGTGCACTGACATTGCGTGGGTCCCGAATCGCATCAAAGAGGTCGTCGAGGTGGAGCGGGAAGGGCATCGCGACCTCTATGCTTTCTGGTTGCGACCATGGAGTGCACAGCCACAGCGAGACATGAACCGCATGATGCTCGTCATCAGAGGGGTCCTCGAGGAGTTCCGGCTCCGGCTCCTCATCGTCGACAGCATCCGGTGGTCTCGGTTCGACAATCGGAGGTCCAGCTGCATAGGCATGGCCAGGCAGGAGGCCTCCGCTGTGTAGTGGGCATTCCCAAATCAGGCGTTGCTGTGCCCATGCATATTGCTCAGCCGGGGTGTTGTCATGCGCCCACCAATTGGAGGGTCTTCCAAGGCTCGGTGCCGTCGCCGAGGAGCTGGGGTTCATTGCTCCCCCTCCAACCAGCATCCCAAAAGCCACAAGCATCTGGAGCCAGGCAGGCTTCACTCTTTTCTTCCGGCCGCTTCCAAAAGGGGCTGCATACGTCCCGTAGGTGATCAACAGGAGGATCTCAGAAGCGAGGACAAACAGCAACAAAGACACCCAGCTCGTCGGCCATGAGTGCTCCGTGCTGATGAGGTAGTCGCTGCTCGTGGCCTCAAGATACTCCAGGGCCTCCTCATAGAAATCCAAGAGGTCCCAGTATCGTTTGCGAGGTTCCTGCTTGCCAAAGCAGGTTGATCTTTCCATCCAAAATTGGCAATGCCGCGCCCAGTCACCACTGTTCCGCAGCAAACCTTGTAGAGGTGGGACACACCGACTAAGCCCACATACTCCACAGTCAGAGTTATAGTCCATTCCCGGACTGTATGGGTGGCATTGAGGTCCACGCTGAGCCGACATCAATTCGTCTCCTCCTGCTCGCCCTCGGTCCTTGACTTTTCCAGAGCAGGCGTAGGCGGTTCGTCCTCGTCGTCCTCGATCAAATTGACAGCTGCATGCCTGGCAGCTTCGAGCTTGCCACTCAGTCCTCCTGACGGTCGCTGTCGCGAGGGCTCCCTGCCCTTCTCCTTGATTGGGGTCCTTCTGGTAATCGACCTGGATCTTGTGCGGGTCGTAGGCGGCGAGGGCATAGCGAGTCTCGTTGTCGGCGAGGTCTGGTAGGGGTCGTTCAGCACCGGTGTTCCAAGGGGACTCTCCCCGAAACCAGGAGGGCTGTGATTTCCCACCATCGCGTCCACCAATGGTGTCGACGTCGCCCTCTTCGGCGCTTTCTCCGTCTGGAGCGGGGTCAGGGGAGCAACGCGAGGTCGTTGTCGCGGCGGCGTAGTCGCCATCACCTTGCGAAGCTTCTCCTGGACATGGGCCACCACCGTATTCGCCATTTCCTCGTCGCTGTCCTCGATGTCTCCCAGTAGGGCATCCCATGCCTTGTTCGCCTCTTGGGGAGCCGGGGCAACACTCGGAACGGTCAGTCGCTCCGGGTGGGCCATCGCTTCCTGGAGCTCCTGGAAGGCACTTGCCTGGGCAGCTTGTCCGTCGCTGATGGCCAGGTCGATGCGCTCCGTGTCCTTCACATAGAGCTCGTGGGCACGGACGAACTTCTTCTTCATGTCCGCCTGGAAAGCCTTCCAGTTCTCTTCGATCTGCTCCTTCTCCTCGCACAATTTGCGGGCCTTGACCTCCGCCTTCCTCGCCGTGGTCACCATTCGCTGAATGGCCTGAACCAGACCCGCTGCCTCGGATTTCTCCTTGGGCTTCTCCTGTGGAGGCATTCTCGGTTGACCACTGCCGGTCGATCGGGTGTAGGAGGGGTAGCCCTGGTCGTCCCAGCCATATTCCTGCTCCCATTTGCCAGAAGAGGAAGGCTGCTGCCATTCGCCACCACGGCGGCTTTTGAAGCCTCCGTTCCAGTACGTCCATGACTTCTTACCCATCTGCCGATGGACCTTGTACTTCGGCTTGGAGTGGTGTTGCTCCAGCAGGGCGATGTCTCTTGGCCAGGGCTTCTTGCCTTGTGCCCGGAGTACGCGAATCCGGCTCCGCGCGGCCGATCGTTTCCTCCGCAGGTGACGGTGCCACGCAGGTGAGGCCGGAATTGCTTCGTGCAGCAATGCACTGGGGAATGGGCTATACTGACGGCGGGCAGCCGCAAGCTCGATCCCAAACCCTATATATATATATATATATATATATATATATATATATATACATATACATATATATATAATATATATATATATATATATATAGATAGATCCCTTTAAGGAGCCCTATAAGGAGGGGTTTGATCTCAGCTTGTCCCAGCCTCAGAGCAGCCCCGAAGGGCCTCCAGGCGCTTTTGGAAGCCCTGCGAAGAGTCAGAGGCTCCATGTACCATTATAGTAGATACTTAAGCCTTAAAGGGGTCCCTATGTAGGTACTTTCAGGCCTAAGTATATACTATATGGGTACATGGAGCCTTAGGGAGAGTCAGAGAAGGTGCCCCCCCCCGCTTTTTTCTCCCCTGGGTTCGTTTCAGCGTACTTTAATTAAAGGGATCCTACAAGCCTTTAAGCGGGTCTTTAGGGCTTTCTAAGGAGTTTACAAGTTTTCAACCCTCTTCGGCCTATTGGGGAGGAAACCTGCCGTTTTGTGTGTGTGTGTGTGCGCGTGTGTGTGTGTGTGTGTGTGTGTGTGTGTTTGTGTGTGTGTGTTTGCGTGCTTGCACGCGTGTGTGTCGGTGCAGGAGCAGGAGAGGCTGGAGCCGACAGAGAGAAGAAGAAAAACACGAACCCGGCAATGATGTGGGGAAGTATAAACCGTGCATAAGAAAGCCGTAATCAATTTCCGGACCCTAAATTCCTATCAATCCCCAGAAGCCCCTTCATTAGAGGGGACTTGGCTAGATATAAGTATAGTTACCTTAACTATAACCGTAGTTACTAAGTCCCATGAACCTCTAAGTAATTAGAGGGTATAAACCCCTGCCCTAACCTGGCCCTAAACCCTGACCGGATGACAGTTCAAGCCCGTGGCCTCCATGTTCTGGGCGACCTTGGCAATCAGGTGGAGGGAAGGGGGGGCATATTTGTGAGGCATACTATAGGGGTTTAGGGTTTAGGGGACATATTGTATATAGGAATATTCTAAGGGCTCTAGGGGATATTCAGATATTCATATAATTCCATCTCATTCAATATTCTTCCAACCCAATAGGGCTTGAAGCCTTCTAGCCGCCGATCGGTGCTTCCCACAAACGGCTCAGCTACCCTAACTTTGCCCTACATTACAGCCATGTAGGTGGTTGTCGATATATTACGGTCCCTTTCTGGTTCCCTATTATAATACGGCACCTATTATTTAGGGTACCCAACAAGGGACCTTAATTTTGACAACTACCCATGTGGGTAGTTCGGGAACAAAGTTTCAAAGGCGGTACCCTGCTGCACCCTAAGCCTCAAAAGCTAGTCATCGAATCGTCGGAGTGTCACTAAACTCTAAACATATTGGGGAACAAATACCCGGGGGGGTCCAAAAACATTATACCCCATGAACTAGTCCTAAACCCTGACTCTGAACCGTAAACCCTTCTTACACCCTTAAACACGTAAGCCTTGAACCCTAACCCTAAGGGCAAATAATGTATGCATTGGCCTTCAAGTACTGTAGTCCCTATATAGGTACTCTGGGGTCGAGCTATGTACTGTTGGGGCACATGGACCCTTGAGGTAAACACCTAAACCCTAAACCCCTTAAACCCCTGAACGGTACCCTTCTAGATTCCTTGAAGGAACCCTAAAGGAACTCTTAAGGGCTCCATAAACCCCTAGAGCCCTAAACCCTATAGATCCCTTCGAAGGAAGCCTTCTAGATCCCTTTAGGGCAACCCTTGTAGATCCGTTAAAAGGAACCCTAAACCTCAAAGGAACCCTAAAGGGCTCCGGGGCTCCTGAAACCCAAAACAGGGCTCCAGGGCTCCTTAAACCCGAAAACGGCTCCAGGGCTCCTTAAACCCAAAACAAACCTCCAGGGCTCCTGAAACCCAAAACAGGGATCCTTAAACCCGAAAACAAGGCTCCAGGGCTTTAAAAAAATAGGGCTCCAGGGCTCCTTAAACCCAAAACAAGGCTCCAGGGCTCCTTACCACTATGGGCTATTCGACCCTAAAGATCCCTATGAGGACCCTATTAAGGGTAGACTAAGGTACCCTTAAGGCCCTAAACCCTAAGCCCTAAGCCCTAAGCCCATAGTGGTAAACCCCCAAAATACCCGGCGAGCAGCATCCGCCAGGGTCGTCGGCAGCGGGCCGAAGTCCTCACCCTCGAGGCTGATAAACTGCTCCTGAGCCGGGTAAGGGCCTATCTTAGGGTATTTAGGGTCTAGGGTTTAGGGTCCCTTAAAGGGATCGATGAGGGTTTCTATAGGGGTTTTCTATATAGGGTTTAGGGTTTAGGGCTTAGGGTTTATGGTAAAAGCCAGAAAGTTGGAATATGATTATCCTAAACCCTTCTATGGTAAATTATAAGGTATCCTACCCTGAAAGCATGTTCCAACTTTCTGGAGTTCCCTGTATGAGGGTTTCTATAAGGGTTTCTATATAGGGCTGCCGAGGCCCCTTGATGGCATCTATATAAAATGTTTCTAGAGAGTCTCTAGGGTTCCTTACTTATAAGGATCTATAAGGGTTTCTGTAGGATTTCTATAAGGGTACTTAGTTCTTCAAATTAAGGTCGCCGTTTTAGAAAGGGTCCTAAACGGGACCCTAATTTAGAGAACTGCCCTCCGGCTTAGGTTCACAGTTTTTGGCTTCGCGGTTTCAAGCTTGTAAACTTTAGGGTCTGAGGTTCAAGACAATAAAAAATGCGCATTGTGGCTCAGAACGTTAGGAGGCGCTGGTTGCTATTCCTTGTTGGGAAGTCTTCTAATAAAGATTTCGTTCATTTGAAGCATATTTTGAGGCCCATACTCCCTTTCAAGCCCCGCGATATACTCAAAGCCTCCCAACACCCCTCCACTAAACCCTAAACCCTGAACCACTAACCCTACACCATAAACCTCTAAACCCTAAACCGTAAAAGCCCTAAACCGTTCCTGTTTCAAGGACTGTGGGCATGGTGAGGTTTAGCTGCCTGTGGTGTTCCCTTCGGTTTAAACTTCGATGTTCCGAAAGATCATCACACATAGCGATCTGTAATCACAGAACCTCAACCCGACTCAACCCGAATACACGTGGCCTGAGTTATTCTAGGACCCTAACCATCAAACTGGTTTCCCAAACACGGAGCTACAATGGAGACCAATGCCGACCCCTGATCAACAAATCCCTTTTTCTTGCAGGGCCCGGCTAGTTGGATTCCTACACTAGCCCTTTCAAGGCAGTCTATCTATATTAAGATCTGTAGGTCCTAAAACCCTGAACCTCAGACCCTAACGGTTCAGGGCTTAGACCGTGAGCTTTATAGGGTTTAGGGGTTCGGCTTGGTGAACCCCAACATACAGACCCTGAGCCCTAAAATCAATGAACCCTACATTGAGAAAACCCTAGATCCGCTTTGTAGTTTCCAGCCTCGCGAAGTAACCGTAATTACCATAATAGGGTACCATAAGGCTCCTTTAAGGGTACCCCAAGACTCCAAGTATACAAATAGTACCTAGTTTGGGGTCTAAAGTCTATAAATACTACCTACTTCGGGCCATTTGGAGTCTTGGGGTTAAGGTTCCTTTAAGGGCTTTAATGGTTCCTGAAAGGGCTTTAAGGGTTCCTTTAATGGTTCCTTTAAGGGCTCCAGCTCCCCCTGCCTCGCGAAGTAGCGCCCCCACGTCCAAGAACCAGCCAACCATGACGCCGGCGATCTGGGCCGGGCCCTGCACTGCTGAAAAAGGGGCTTTAGATGGCTTTACCCAAAGGCCCCAAAGTAGTTCCTTTTTGGGGTTCGTATATAGAAACCTATAGGGTAATCCCAAAAAGGAACTACTTTGGGGCCTCTGGGTAAGAAGTAAAAGGTTAGGTGCGGCCCCCATACAGTAAGAGTCCATAATAGGGCTACTATTAAGGTCCTACTATATCCTATATTATGAATACTATTCAACTATTACCGAGTGGGGGTCGTACCTAAGAAAAAGGGCTTTAGATGGCTTTAAGATGTCATGTTCAGTTTAGGGTTCGGGGGTTTAGGGTTCAGGGTCTAGGGGTTTAGGCATAGGGTTTCTGAGTTTAGGATTCAGTTTAGAGCTGTTTGGTTGAGGGTCCAGAGTGCAAAGTTTAGGATGGTTTATAGTAGAAGCCAGAAAGTTGGAACATGGCTTTAGGAGGATTAGTGCTAGGATCCTTTATAGTTTACCTTAAGGGTATGAGGACAGCTATGTTCCAACTTTCTGGCTTCTACTGTAGGAACTTCCTTAACGTAACAGTTAGGATTCGGGTCAGGAGGGTTTTTACAAGGTTATGTTTAGATTGCTTGTAGAGGTTGGGGCTTTGCTCCTCAGCCCTAAACCCAGGACCGTTACCCTGAAGCCTGAAACCCAAGTTCTAATCTCTACCTGACAGTGATGGCCCCCCTCCTCAACAAAAACGAAAAACACACCCACAAAATAACGACCCTGTTCTCCTCACCTCCGAGCCCGAACCCCTGAAACCAAGTCCTATACTCCAGATGGCCTTCTTGGAGAAGCCGGTGACAGTGAAGGGTGCCAGCGGATCTGACACGTCGAACCTGACCGAGGGCGTGTGTTCCTCTTGTTTGTTTGTGCCTTTTGGCTGCATTGGGGTGTAATTAATTTTTGCAAAGGGTGCATCAACATCAACACCATCGCCTTAAGGCAAGTAAAGTTGGCAAAATCATGATTGCGAGAGTCAGTATTTGTCTTCGGGCATCAGGAGATTGTGATCAGACAGAATTCTGCCAGCCAGGAGTGCGAAACATAAACAAGCAACAACCATAATAATATGAACAAAGGGCGACCTCCCTAAAAGCTAAACCTTAAGTCCTAAGCCGCAAACGTAGACACTGTACCCCGAATACCAGGTCGAAGGTCGGCGTGCTGCTTCTGCTTTAAAGGATACGGGCTTAGGAGTTCATTTAGGGTGCAGGGTTTGGGGCTGAGGCTTTGGGATTTAGGGTGGAGAGGTTTAGGTTTAGGGTCCAGAAAGTGTTCGGTTCTGCACCTGGCAACATCAACTATGTACCCAAATTCTAAGCACAACGGAGGTCCTTAACGTAAATCCTAACGGCGGGACGGACGGAATCAAAGCCTTTCTGGATCCACCGTGGACCCTAACCTAAGGACCAACCTATGCCCTCTGGCCTGAGAGAAGCAATTCTGAGACTGAAAGATATGTGAATGCACAGCCTGAATCCAGCGATCTCGCTGCCCACTGTCATGCCCTCCTCGTATGTGACCTGGACGGTTTTCCTCAGACAGCGCAAGGTTTGCTTGAAGGTTAACGGGTTTAAACTCTAAACTCGGCATTTACACCCCTCTAGTCTCCACACAAACACCGAGAACATAGTAAAGTCAAAACACAAAAGACAGTCTGTAAAGGCTTGAAAACAACTAGTTAAAATCGGCCAAGCAGATAGGGTGCATGATGAGGTTTTGTTCCAAGCCCGACATAACATTGGAGTCTTAACGGTTTAGGGTTTCAGGTTTAGTAACAAGCCTCAACAGTAACAACAAAAAGGTTTTGGGGTTTGGTATGCTTCAGCTCTACAGTGCAAAGTGCTACTATCTAGTCAGGGCACTATGCTACCCACACTGTTGGAATTCGGAATGCCTGGAAAGCATGGAATCCCCAGGGTTCCAACTAGGGTTCAAAAAGACTTCATTGATCTTCGTTGTCACATTAAGGTTTCACAGGCATTGATTGGGACCCGAAACAACGACAACCAAATCCAGACTGCGGCGGACCCAGATTGTCGTAGGCGCGGGCACGATTCCCCACCACAATATGCACAGCACTGCGGCGGGAGCACGCTAAACCCCAAACTCTACACCCTTAACCTTCGTTTGAAACCGCAGTGTCAGGAGCACAACGTCGAGCTGAAGCCCCATTCTTCGAGCGACTTGAAAATCAAACTAGACCCTACAGGGTTTAGTCAGGGTTTAGGAAACTTAAACCCTGCACCCTAAACCCCTAAAACAACCTGGACATGGGACTGTGGCAAAAGCAGGCTTTCCACCCATAGCGAGAACTACAGAACGGCGGCTCACCCATGCGGAAGGAGGGGGAGGGGGTGAGCTTCGCGATCAAATCCTTGTCGTTCCCCAACCCCAAAGGCTCCATGTGGCTTTACAGTAGAAACTTAAGCCTTAAAGGGGTCCCCATATAGGTACTTTAAGGCCGATAAGTATATACTATATGGATACATGGAGCCTTAGGGGAAACATATGATCTAAGAATCCGTGCTGTATACTGCGCTGGTTGTGCAATGAGGGTTCGGCAATGATTCCTCAATGATCGTAACTATAAGTAAGGATTTTATTAACTCAGGACTTCGGCTCTCGGGCAAATATGTAGCCCTAAGGGTCCATGTACCCAAAGAGTATATACATCGGCCCCAGTTTCGGCCCCAATGTACCTGTATAGGGACTACTTTTAAGCCAAAGTATATACTTTTTGAGTACATGGACCCCAAATGCACCCTAAACTGTGAACAACCGTATACAAACATGTACAAAACCCTCAGAAAAAAGGCTGTAAAATCCTGATGACACAACGGCCCCATATGCAGGAAGATCCTAAATAAAAACCATGTAAACTCTAAACTAGGGCCCCAAAAAAGCACCCTTATCATGAAGCCCATTAAGGGATATCCCCATAAAATGCTTATGCTTATGTGCTTTTTGGGTCCCTGATAAACTGCTGACAAAATCTGGGGGCCCCAAAGCCAACCCAGAATTTGCCGAACGAAGCTCTGCTCTTCAGCGACAGAGCTGACACAGTAGCCTCGGCATCGCTTCAGGGTCTAGGGTTTAGGGTTTAGAGTTAGTTTAGGGTTTAGGGTTTAGAGTTAGTTTAGGGTTTAGGGTTTAGAGTTAGTTTAGGGTTTAGGGTTTAGAGTTAGTTTAGGGTTTAGGGTTTAGAGTTAGTTTAGGGTTTAGGGTTTAGAGTTAGATTAGGGTTTAGGCATTAGGGTTTAGGGGTCCGAGATGGTCCGAGGAGTTTTGGTAGGGGTCTCAATAACTGGAAGAGGGTTCCTGTTAAAGGGCTCTTACACAGGCCTTTTTATAAGAGTTACTTTCAGGGGCAGTATAAGGGTGTACTGTAGGGGCCTCAATAATTCGAATAATTTTCGGTTTTAGTCGCTATTGCAGTATAATTATCGAATAAGGAGCCCTTAAGAATAGTATTAGTTTCGGAGCGTACGGCCAAGGTATCCAGAGGACACAACTGAAAAACAAACGAAACCCGTACGCTCGTAGAGAGCCTGAGGCCCATAAGCCTCCACGGTATAGAATTCGCCTCGGCCCCGGCCGAAGCGGTCAGAGGTTCCTATTCGGATTCCCTCTATTCCCCACCCCACACCCCCACCCACACTCCCCCCTGCCCCCCCCCCCTCCCCCCCCCATTTTTTTGCCCCCTGTCCCCTGCCCTGCCCTGCCCCCCCCCCTCCCGCTCCCCCCTGCCCCCCTCAAGGCAAAGTTCGGAAATAGCGTTGCGTTGGGCAGCACAGCACGCGGCTCCACGACCTGACCTTCTCATAGCATCGGAGATTCAAGCATCGCTATCGCCAGCTAGGGGCTATGTCGAATATCAGGCACAGAACGCGGAGATGCTACAATGGTCACATCAACCTCTTGCTGGCTTCTTGAGACAAGCCCTCTGCCTTACGCCGCTCTGCCCTGCTTTGCCCTGCCCTACAAGCAATACAAGTCCGATTCCAACTGTTGTTATAATCTCGTACAAGAGCTTCCTGCTGCGCCGGATGGTAGCCAGTCGCCGCATGCGCGAAAAGCCGGGCCGAGGCGGACGACGCGAAGCGTTTCAAATTAAGGTTTTGGGGCCATTACAATATAGATACAATAAGGAACCCCCAAAATAGTATAGGCAAGTATTTGGGCCCAAACACTAAAGAAGAAAACCCTGAAATCTGAACATGAGCCCCCAGCCCTCAGCATTACATAACCGTTTAGTGCGCCTGATCACAATTCGTTATCCAAGTCGTTTAAAAAGGTAGGCCAGCGTTTAGGGATTCAGGGGGGCGCTAGAAGACCTAGAAGTCACAGAAAACCTGGGAGGATCTGTGCCGAAGAACGAGCGCGGCCATTGTCAGAGGCATCCAACCACTCCTGGAGTGCGAAGCGTACTTGGAAGGGCAAGGGACTTAGTAAGTAGGTTATAAGTAGAGTTATAAGTACCCTAAATGGAGTTACCCCAATTATAACCCTACTTATAAACGACTTACGAAGTCCCCTGCCCTTCCAAGTAGGGGTTCTAAGGGCCTGCGGGTCTGCGGCACGCTTTACAGAATTCGTCTTGGTGGGGCCCTCCATGCTTGTCTGCACACTTCTGTGGCTCTGAGATTCGCCCGCCTTCGCGATGAGAAACCTTACCGAACCCAAAGGCTCCATGTACCTGTATAGTAGATACTTAAGCCTTAAAACGTTCCCTATATAGGTACTTTAAGGCCTAAGTATATACTATATGGGTACATGGAGCCTTAGGGTAATGGTGGGGCCTTCATACTGAAAATAGGGCTTCGATCATATGGTTCCCGTAAAGGACCCTTTAAGGGGACCCTAAACCCTCACCCTCTTCAAGGACCCCTTCAAGGATCCGGTTACTATAACCACAAGGGGCGGTATTGGGATTTTATGCAGAGGTCTTAACTGCCAAAGTATTTATCATACATGGCCCTGCAAGCTGGCCTTAGCACATTGCGTAAGCAACCACCCTCCAAAGCGACACACCAGATGAATCGAAGACCCGACTTTCGAGACAAATGCCTCAAACCGTATATACACCTACTTGTCGGGTATCATGGGGAACTGAAGGTTAACCTTTTTGGTTATATAGGGATTATATAGGGGCTCTACTGCCCAAACAAGGTTAAAGGTTGCCTACTCTACTACCAGGCACCCTAAACCCTTAACCCCAAACCCTAATCCCTAAACCTGAAAGGCGCGCGTGCGCGGGGTCCTGGAAAACACCGCAGATCTCCGCTTCATCGGCATCGATGCGAACCTTCCAAAGACCTCCTTCGGAGCGTCCTCAGTATCGGAGGAGTGCGGCCCAACGGGACCTTAAAGTTTACCTGGTAGCCGAAAAGACCTACCTTTTTGAGGAACTATATATAGAAACCATAGTAAGGAACCCTGAAAAGGTAGGTCTTTTCGGCTAGAGGCTAGAGGTAGGGGTTTAGGGTTTAGGGTTTCCTATATCGGACTTTTTCGGGTTTGGGGCTTAGTGTTACTAGTAGGGACTGTTAAGGTTTAGAGCTTGGAGGTTTAGGGCTTGGGGTTGAGGGGTTTAAGGGATTAGGGGCTCGGTAAGTGAGAGGCCTCAAAAGGTAGGATGAACGTAGGTAGGATTCAGGATCCCTTGTTTGGGAGTACCCCACCTACCTTCCTACCTTTTGAGGCCCCTGATGAAGGGTTTATCAACGGTTGAAACCATGGCCCCTAGTTTGGGCCCTTAAGCTTGGGAATCGTTATACTGCACGCCCCTTAGAACCATAATATATATATATATATATATATATATATATTCTTTTAACATTCTCAATTCTCTTGGGTTTTATGTGAACTAGAAGACAATTGGCCCGAAAGCATCATCAGCGAAGAGTGTGGGGCTATGTGATAGATCCAGTGTATAGGATCGTAAAGTCACAGAATCAAGAGTCATAGAGTCCATGAGTCATGAGTCATAAAGTCATAGAGTTGCAGTGACATAGCGTCATAGAGTCGTAGTGAGATAGAGTCAGTGTATAGGATCGTAAAGTCACAGAATCAAGAGTCATAGAGTCCATGGGTCATGAGTCATAAAGTCATAGAGTTGTAGTGAGATAGAGTCACGGAGTCGTGGAGTCATCTTTGTACCATACACTTGACTCGATGTAGTTCACTCTATGCCCTGTGTGTGGGAACGCTTAATCAAGATCCGCCTAGCGTGAGGGCTCAGAGCCTGACTCAACAGGTCAAGTGGCAACTTGTCAGAGGGATTGGCAAATGCATAATATATGGATACTATACATATAAATATATATATATATATATATATATATATATTATATATATATATATGGAAATGTGCCTGGCCAAGAACTGGCCACTCGTCCTTGGCATTCCTGCCTCTCAAGTTATGAAGGGTGGAACGCCTCACATCGTCCTCACTGTACCAGCGGAAACACCAGCTGCGGAAAATGGCGTTATTGCAAGAAGCTTCACTGACTTCACAATAATTAATAGAGCTGCGAATGAGGACAGAGTCACAGGTGACTGACTGGTCTCTGATCAGCCATGGCACATCTTAAAATCTTCCTGAAGACTTGGCTTTTTTTACACACACGCACATTCTTCTCGTGTTTGGGTCGTTGCTTGCTTGCTCTTTCGCAAGACAGCGTCGAAGCAAGCAAGCAACGTCCCAAAGACCGGCATCGGAGAGGCGGCCTGAGGAGGTGCCGGGAGAGGTCATCCCAGGGATTACGGTGGTCCGGAGCCTCGTGAAAATGGCTGATTGTAGTTGCAAAGGTTCGTCGGGAGCCCCGAGCCTCCATAGCACGCATTATACCAAGCCAGGGTATAGGGGTATAGTATCATGGAAGAAGAAACATAGCGGCAGCTGACAAACATCCCCAAACGGAAGCCGCAACACTGGTCTCTGAAAGGAGTCGGGAATTAGGGTTTCGCTCTTCATCTCAAACCACAACAGGCCAGCGTATGTTACTTAGCCGATTCAACAGACTCCAGGGGAACGCCAGGGGCTTATGGGTCCTTAGGCCTAGTAGTAGGACTAATGCAGGGATCATGGTGGTCCAGAGCCTCCTCCAGAAAGATTGATTCTAGCTGCAGACATTCATCGAGAGCCCCAGGCTTCGGTGACACCCTGTGTATCAACCCAAGGTATACTATCTCAGAAGAAGAAACCCGGCGGCATCTGGCAAACATTCCCAAGCGGCAGTCACAACACGGGTCTCTCAAAGGATGATTGGGGATTTAAGATCTATCCTATACCACAAACGGGTCCACCTCGCTGAGCTGCTGCGCGATCCGTGGCGCCGGGATTCCAGCAGCGAAAGGCAGTGCAGTCATTAGGGATTTGGAAAGACACCGTTCCGAAGTGAAACACCTTACTTCACCAGGAAACCCGCCAGATGCCGCAAAGTATTTAACGTGCCACGCAATCGAGGAGCTCCTGCGTCTCGATGAGCCTTTGTCTGCTCACAGGACGTCGCGGCCAGGAGGAGAACACCGAGGCATTGGGAATCACTACGCTTCCGCCGCACCAATGTACCAATGCGAGCACTTGAAGTTGCCGTTGACGGTTCGCCCATCATAGTTCTCGCTCGGCAGCCTTCGATTGTCAATCGGCCTGAGACGCCCACGGTACCTCACAACTTCATGGTGCACTCCTGCTCCGTTGACGGATCCATGTGCTTCATAAATGCACGCTTCGTGCAATGCGTTGTCTCTTTAGCACACAAACACACACACACACACACATACACACATACAACTGGTTCGTGGGAGTTCGCAAGATCAAGTGAGACCACAGAAGCCTGCGATTTGACTTCGATCTATGCAGAACAACAGACCTTACACTGCATCACGAAGCATTTCGGAGTCGGGTTGGGGGTGGAGAGCCAGCGCGGGAGGAACCTGGACCTAGACCGGATTACTCTTCCCAGGCGACCCTCCCCGGCCTTCGTCGTCAGCATCGGAGAGGTGGCCTGGTGAGGTGCTGGGAGAGGTCATACACGAGTTACGGCGGTCCGGAGCCTTGTGAAAATGGCTGGTTGTAGTTGCAAAGGTTCATCGGGAGCCCCGAGCCTCCATAGCACGCACTGTACCAACCCAGGGTATAGTATCATGGAAGAAGAAACATAGCGGCAGCTGACAAACATCCCCAAACGGAAGCCGCAACACTGGTCTCTGAAAGGAGTCGGGAATTAGGGTTTCGCTCTTCATCTCAAACCACAACAGGCCAGCGTATGTTACTTAGCCGATTCAACAGACTCCAGGGGAACGCCAGGGGCTTATGGGTCCTTAGGCCTAGTAGTAGGACTAATGCAGGGATCATGGTGGTCCAGAGCCTCCTCCAGAAAGATTGATTCTAGCTGCAGACATTCATCGAGAGCCCCAGGCTTCGGTGACACCCTGTGTATCAACCCAAGGTATACTATCTCAGAAGAAGAAACCCGGCGGCATCTGGCAAACATTCCCAAGCGGCAGTCACAACACGGGTCTCTCAAAGGATGATTGGGGATTTAAGATCTATCCTATACCACAAACGGGTCCACCTCGCTGAGCTGCTGCGCGATCCGTGGCGCCGGGATTCCAGCAGCGAAAGGCAGTGCAGTCATTCGGGATTTGGTAAAAACACCGTTCCGAAGTGAAACACCCTACTTCACTAGGAAACCCGCCAGATGCCGCAAAGTATTTAACGCGCCAAGCAATCGAGGAGCTCCCGCGTCTCGACGGTGGCCAATCCCTGTGGAGACTTGCAGACGGTGCCACCCCTTGTGCTAGCGGCGCTCCACAGGAACCATCATCCGCGCCATCGCGGCTGTCATCATGCTGATACCACCAGAGCAGGTCCAAGCCTCCAAGCGGCCACATTCTGTGGCGAGGCAGCCAAGATGACTGCAGGGCAGAACGTCAAGAGCCAGCTTCTCGTTTGGCCAGCACGACGGACTCGCGGGTTGGACAAGCCGCGCATTTGGAGTAGTGCTGCCTAGGCGAACACAACGGACTCGCAGGTTGCTTGCACAGGCCGCAGGCACCGTCCCGCCAAGACAAGCCGCGCATTTGGAGTGGTGCTGGCTAAGCTCGTCTGAAGGGTTGCAAAGTGTGCCATCTCAATGGCGACTTCTCAAGAGGAAGAACGGATCATTCAAGAATCCAAACAGTAGCAGTGGGCAACGAAGCTAAACCGGGACACCGGGTTGAGCAGAACCCCGAAGACCTTTCGGCCACACAACGGAAATTCTGAACTTGAACCAACCAAGCCCAGCAGTCCGCAGTGGGAAACTCAGGAAATGAAGAGGTTTCTGTTAGACCGACCTTCCCAGCCTCGACGAATCCAAAGCGACCGGGCAGTGCAGGCAACCTCAGGAGCAGGGTTGCCCCGCCCAAGCAGCCGCACTTTCGCAAGACAGCGTCATTCTGCCACGAGCAGAAGAAACAACAAACAAGCGATTTTCTTCTCGTGGCGGCGTCGTTGTTGCTTGCTTGCTCTTTCGCAAGACAGCGTCGAAGCAAGCAAGCAACGGTGGAAGCTAGCCAGAGCAAAGAATTCACAGCCCGCACGGCTCACCGTGGAGTCAAGGGCCGCGCCACCCAGTCGCCCCAGCTCACGACTTGGTCGTTGTCAAGAACGGCAGCAAAACCAAGAGCGGAGGCTGCGATACCCCGCACATTCTTGAGCTGATCTCGCACGGCACTGCTGTCGCCACCGCGCTCTGGGAAGCCCCATGATACAACCGTGCCGTCGGCCTTAATGGCAGCGAAAGCATTGAAGTTGCTTGCGATTTGCTCCACATCTGTCAACTGATGTTGCACTTTGCTGCTGTTGCCACCATGAAGGCCACAGCCCCAGGTTACGACGGAGCCATCGCGTAGAAGCGCTGCAAAGGCTCCGCGGTTACTTTGGATTTCTCTAACGTCCTTCAGCCGTTTCTGCACTTCACTGCTGTCCGCACCAGAATATCGAGCCCCACCCCATGTAACCACGGAACCATCTGTGCGGATCGCTGCAAACGCATGCGTCGTCGATTGGATGGCCGATACATTGCACAACTGTTCCTGCACCGCGCTAGAGTCGCCTCCGCTGAAGTCTTCACCCCATGTAAAAACGGATCCGTCGGTCAGAATGGCTGCAAAAGCCCTCGATGAGGATTGGATGGCGGTGACGTTTTGCACAGGCACAGAACTGCATTTGCCCCAAGTAACGACAGATCCATCGTCGAGCAGCGCCGCAAAGGCTTCTAGTGACGCTTGAATCTGCCGCACGCCTTTGAGTTGCTTCTGCACTCCACTGGAGTCGCCTCCGT